TTTCTTTATGACACTATTATATTCTTGTCAGTGTAAATCTTGTCACGCTGTTTCACATAATACAGGTATTTATTAGACTAATTAAAGATTCTTGGAATACTGTAGAACAAAGATGGCAGAGAAACCTTCTAATTCAACAGATATCAAAATATAACAAGTATTTTGAAATATTTATTAGCTTATGTATTACTTCTAGAAGCATTAGGCCTATGGTAATTCAGATAATGTTAAATGACACATTGCTGAAAGGCCATCAAGTTTGTGAAAATGAACAGCCTTGATCAATACTAATAAGAATGTCACAGGGATCAGAACAACCACTAATGGCTCTATTTGTTTTTTGTTTTGGCAGTATCCCAATTATATAAAATGAAGAAGACAAAGTGAAAACCCAGATTCTGTAGTGGTTCTCATATTAGTCGCCACATTTGATCATGCAGTGGTATATAGAGCAGGCCAACCTGTTTTGCCCAAACCTTGGAAGGTCCCAGTGTTTTATGGTCGTACTGTAGTAGATTTGACTATGTAAATGTGTCTACCATTAATTGCTTGTTGGGGTGATTACTTGGAAGGTATATACTCCTTTTATTTGTGTTTGAACAGATTGGCCAAATAGATGAATTTATTGAGTTCCAAAAACATGATTGTGGTCAATTGTTGAGTAGTTGATCATTGACCAGGTTTCACCTGGACTTGACCAGTTGTTTGTCCGGTCAAGTTTGGTGAGTGGTAAAGCGTCTGGGCAGGTATGTTACACATGTACCTGGTATATTGTTAATACCAGTAAGTAGATAAAGAGTGTACATGTACATGTTTATTTGACCTGAATAGAATGGTCGCACCATTTAATATCGATCTTATTTATTTACCCAATTAATGCTTATATAAATCTGTGTATGCTTCATTAAGGCAAACCAAAAAGATATTTGTGTTTCTGCTATTATCCTCAGAAAAAATTGGGTAGGTAGGCTATTTTTTTTTTTTTGGGAAAATATTTTTACTATGTTCATATAGAGCATGAGTTCAAACTTGAACAGTGCATATCACTAAATGCCAATACAAACTTTAAGGTAGGCACAAAACACTAGGGTGGTTAGTTAGTGGAAACACAAGCTTTTTTATTTGGTCTAATATATACTCTGTATGGTTCAGCTTTAAGTTAAGTACATGTTATTGACCTACTGTACACCATTTTGAGCAACAGGTACAATTGGAAGTCGAAATGTTGATGATTGCTTGTTGTTAAGTACACCACACCTGTGCTAGGTTCTAGTATACAGGTGAGGACGACCAGGTGAGTAGGTACAGGTGTGAATGTCCACATCGTGGTATCTTTCACAATGGTGTCACCTATATAGGTGTTTATGGCTACTCTGAAACTGATGGCTAGTAATACACTCTTCACAGCACTGTCAGCTTGTGAAGATTTTTGAATGATTTTAGGAAAGATTTAAATAATTTCTTAGTTTTATTTTTTTGAATAGTGAGTTTGCATCCCAACAACAATGCTATAAACATTTGTATATATCTGGTATAAACCCCTTGATCTGTTTGATTTCCATGACATCAAGTACAGCAGTGGACAATCAGCTCCGTAGACGCGGATCACTACATGCATTGCCTATACAAAAATCAATGATCAGTACTACAGATTGGTGTCCTGTCCATATTTACCACAATTCCTGTGATCCAGCTCCCTACTAGCTCCTCACACCCAGGGCTAGCTCCTCACACCCAGGGCTAGCTCTCACACCCAGGGCTAGCTCCTCACACCCAGGGCTAGCTTTCACACCCAGGGCTAGCTCCTCACACCCAGGGCTAGCTCCTCACACCCAGGGCTAGCTCTGACACATACAAATGTCATTTTGTGGCAACATTCTGATATTTACAGATACACACATGAAAACACACTGTTGGTTATACATGTTTGGTAACTCTCTGTAAAATAGGTTTCTATTTATTGAAACGTAGCGACAGCTATATAGGTTAAATACAAATGTTGGGCAAGATTTCACAGGTAAACCTGTAATTTGTACCCCAAGATGTTTAAATTTGAATTTTGAGAAATATTGACAGGTAATTTGATAGTGTACCAAGAACTTACTCCAGAGAAATTATTCAATGTACATGCAGTGATACACCAATGATTATAGTAGATATTTGTGAAAATTCATGTGGAATGTTAGTACACATATACTACTCCGTATGTTGATCATGTTCCTTATGTATAAGACTCAATAGGATTAGAGCCACATATTGCACTGAATGAACATGTACACACATAAAAGATTTTAGTAAAATGAATGATGATTCCTTCCATTTGCTTAATGCCTATATACATGCATAAAAGAATTTGGTAAAATATTTGATGATTTATTGCATTTGGAAAGTACATGAGGTTAAATTGTAGCTTAAGGTTAGCTGGGCCTTCACACCGATACAGACGTAATGTACAGTTGATACGTGATCTCTCTCTCTATAATGAGGCGTTGAAGGGAGGCAGGTTGTCGTAGACAAATGTAGATAGCTTTTAAATTCTTAAGTAAAAATATATGCACTGTGTGTCTCTCATGAGCTATTTTAATTTGTGGTGTTTACGTTAAAGTTGTATCTCTGAGATAAATCTGGTAAACACAGCTAAATAAACCTCCGCAATAACTGTACTTGTTTGAAACAGTCAAACACCTCAATTACTGAACAGTTCACCTTTGACCTTATACATGTAGGTAGAGTTAATGAGGTTTCCTTATATGGATTTAATCAAACAAACAAAAATCAGAGTTTCTAATTCAAAGAAGCTTTATATATGCCACCAGGTTGTAAAGAGTCGGACATGTGTACCATTCACATATTTTTGTGTGATAAATGTGCAAGATGAAGATGTAAATCAACGTAGGATTACATAAACTGTATTTATTTATCGTGATCAGCTCTTGTCCAGTCTAATTCTGACATAAATATATCTTGTTTGTTAATTATGTCAACCATTGTATACACCATCACTTGGTGTGTGATAAGTGATATGTGTAAACTGTACAGATTAATTAAGACACGACTTGAGACTGATCGTTTAGGAGACACGACTTGAGACTGATCGTTTAGGAGACTGGAAGGTGTGTGATAAGTGATGTGTGTAAACTGTACAGATTAATTAAGACACGACTTGAGACTGATCGTTTAGGAGACACGACTTGAGACTGATCGTTTAGGAGACTGGAAGGTGTGTGATAAGTGATGTGTGTAAACTGTACAGATTAATTAAGACTTGAGACTGATCGTTTAGGAGACTGGAAGGTGTGTGATAAGTGATGTGTGTAAACTGTACAGATTAATTAAGACTTGAGACTGATCGTTTAGGAGACATGACTTGAGACTGATCGTTTAGGAGACACGACTTGAGACTGATCGTTTAGGAGACTGGAAGGTGTGTGATAAGTGATGTGTGTAAACTGTACAGATTAATTAAGACTTGAGACTGATCGTTTAGGAGACTGGAAGGTGTGTGATAAGTGATGTGTGTAAACTGTACAGATTAATTAAGACTTGAGACTGATCGTTTAGGAGACTGGAAGGTGTGTGATAAGTGATGTGTGTAAACTGTACAGATTAATTAAGACTTGAGACTGATCGTTTAGGAGACTGGAAGGTGTGTGATAAGTGATGTGTGTAAACTGTACAGATTAATTAAGACTTGAGACTGATCGTTTAGGAGACTGGAAGGTGTGTGATAAGTGATGTGTGTAAACTGTACAGATTAATTAAGACTTGAGACTGATCGTTTAGGAGACTGGAAGGTGTGTGATAAGTGATGTGTGTAAACTGTACAGATTAATTAAGACTTGAGACTGATCGTTTAGGAGACTGGAAGCTCTCTCTGGGTATTGATTCCACTTTAATTCTCAGGCACAATTACTTTTTCAAACCTCCGTGTGCTATAGCTGTGTGTGAGTGATTCTGGGGGGATCGTCACTTTGGTAATCAAAGTTGTCCTGTAAATCAATTGCACTTCCAAACTGGTTAAGGTTGAAACAGTCAAATTTGAAATTTCAGGGTTTTCTAAGTATAAAATAAACATGGTTATTTGTGGTATTATAGGGCTGCAATATGCTAACCAACGAAAGAGGCAGCAGAAGATTTATCTTTTTGAAAATGAAAAAAAGATGTTGACAAAGATATTTTTGTCTCTATTGCCATCATCAAGTAAAGTTGCCGTTTTTCCTGAGCTTGTTTATTACTGTGTTAGTAAACAGGATCAGTAAAGAGCTTGACTAGCTTCAATATCAGTTATAGGTTAGCCAGACTACCAGAGGAACTGATCATTAGTAGATTTGTACTCTATCAATATTCCATAGCACATCCCCCATGTTTTGTCTGTCCTCAAGCTTTTTTGAGGCATTTATCCTAAAATTATTTCACCATAATGATAAGTTACCAAATTTGTGTTTTGTTTTCTCAAAATGAAGAAAATCTGAGGGAATATTTCCACAATTTCAATAAATTTTCAATTCATTCAGGCTGTTGTAAAATCTAGGTAGGAAAACACTATTAAACAGTTTGTCCACGGCATATTTCATACTATTTTACTGAATTTGGAATTCATTTACATCTTGTGTTGTATTGTATACCAAAAGTAGGTCACTGTGACCTAATTATTTTGTTTGGGTGTTATAAGGTCACTGTGACATACATTACTTGTATCATAATTGTTTTGGTCTATACTGATACAAGCTTTTGTTGAAAAATTGATAAATCTATACATTTGTATCACAAAACAAATGTTGTTTTGGACTTAGTTGCTGTTCTCTCCAGCAGAATCCTCTTTCGTTTTCTGTGTATTGCTGTGCTAACAAACTTAAAGCAGAAGTCAAACTTTGTGAGATGTTAACAGTTGGTACATATTTCAGTAGTTATTTTCTGTCTATTTTCCCCTTGATTGACAATTCTGATTAAGATGTTTTGTTTGTGTCGGCCATTACAACTGTTTTCCATTGTTTCTGCAGGCTGAGTTTGGTGGCATTCCAAGAACTGTCTGACGAGGAGGCACTTACAAAGGTGAGTATTGCCACGTTAATCAGTATCCATGACAACAAGCAGTGCCTGTGATAATTAATGGTGCTCACAAAATACACCATCTGTAGTCTGTTATTGTGATCACTGTGGTACATGGGCAGAGCTGTAGAAGTAGAAGGACTTGTGGATATATATATATTATACCTTTCTTGACCTTTAAATCATTACTATCTCAACCACTTTTACATCCCCACCCCCACAGGCAGGGTAACATTGACATACTGTACCAGCATGTGTAGAAGAGGTGATCACCAAAAACTGTTAAACCCATTCACCCCTGAAATTTCATAATGAACTATTCCAGCCTTTGAATTGGAAGAGTTAAAATGTGTTTTCAGGGGTGAATGAGTTAAGGATCATCAAACCATTGACAAAAACTGTGACTATGCACTAGAAAGTAATTATCTAGCGGACCTTTAGTTGTGATTTCACTTCAGAAAAGCAAACCATACCTTGAGGGATTTAAATGAAAAACTAATGAAGAAGAAATAACAAAAAGGTATTCAACAACCATGTAACGAGAATAAAAAATGCAATGGGAAACTGAGCTACCTGGTCAGCAGTAGGACCTGGTCCAGCTGCTGTTTTATCCAAATGAATCTTTAGGGGAGGTTACTGTATGTATGAAAGAATTCTCTTATGTTTTACCAACATTAAACAATTAAAACAAAGTTTAAACTTATACATTCTTATTAACTCTCTTAATTATTTTTTAAGTTATATGCAAAATATAATTAGTGTGAAGCATATTTTACCAAAGAAGTTATGTTTTTTAAGCTTTGACATGCAATAGTTACAGAAAATGAGGAAAAAACGTTCAAAAAAATGATAGTGATCAAAACGTACTTGAACAATATGTACCCGAGTGTGACATTTAAGGGTATAGAGTACCTTACTCTGGTAGGTTGTCAAGGTGACTTTGACAGGTGACCTGTTCATATGATTGGTCCCAGTGAATGGCTGAATGATACTTAGTGCAAAATGTATATAACCTCTCCATACTTAAAGTTGGAATGTCACATCTGTCACTGGCTTTGTCTCAGCAATTATGTGTGACGATGGTATACATGTTTACCTTAATATATGGTGTATCTACATAGTAAATTTACCTCTATGGTAGATGTTTACCTTAATATATGGTGTATCTACATGGTAAATTTACCTCTATGGTAGATGTTTACCTTAATATATGGTGTGTCTACATGGTAAATGTATCTCTATGGTAAATGTTTACCTTAATATATGGTGTGTCTACATAGTAAATGTACCTCTATGGTAAATGTTTACCTTAATATATGGTGTGTCTACATGGTAAATGTATCTCTATGGTAAATGTTTACCTTAATATATGATGTGTCTACATGGTAAATGTATCTCTATGGTAGATGTTTACCTTAATATATGGTGTTTCTACATGGTAAATGGACCTCTATGGTAGATGTGTAAGGATGAGTCTTGCACTGACAAATTCTTTTGTTTAGTTGAAAAGTAATTAAATGATCTGGTATTCATGCATGGAACTTGGTCTGCCTTAATTAAAACGAGTTATTTGCGTTGTACAGCAATACTAAGGAGTCTGCTGATCTGACATGTGATACAGGCTGTAGAATGGGATTCAAGATTGTTGTGCATGGGGATACAGAAATATTGTAACTTTATTGCACATGTTAAAAACTTGTTTTACACACTTTTTGATTAGTTACATTGTAAACACTCATTACCTGATATAGTTTGATTGATGCTTAGAATTGATTTCGGGTTCCTTCTGTTGTGAGATGAAGCTTTATGAGTCAGTGGTTGGGGGTTATTAAGATGCTACAAGAGCCACTAAGGATGTAAGCCAAGGTTTAGTGTAGGAGCTCGGGGGAAAACAAACACATAGTAATATGGCTTCCCTGTAGTGGTGATTCACAGACCTTGTACACTGGAGAAGTAGTATAGGCACCTCCTTCCTTGTACTAGGGTTGGATGACTAGACAAGATAGGTACCCAGTACTTTATAGGTGAATATAGCCAATCAATGTTTGTCTGTAGCCTTGTATAGACAAAGTTAGCGTGTTCTTCATCATCAGAGTACTGGTTCAAGTCTTTGGGTAGACCTCCAACAGTAGGTAGACAAGGGGGAAGGGAGGAAGCTAGGGGAAGGGAGGGAGCTAGGGGAAGGGAGGGAGCTAGGGAAAGGGAGGGAGCTAGGGGAAGGGAGGGAGCTAGGTAGACAGGGGAAGGGAGGGAGCTAGGGAGACAGGGGGAAGGGAGGGAGCTAGGTAGACGGGGTATTAGGAAGACAGAGGGAAGGGATGGAGCTAGGGGAAGGGGGATATTAGGAAGACGGGGGGAAGGGAGGGAGCTAGGGGAAGGGAGGGTGCTAGGGGAAGGGAGGGAGCTAGGTAGAAAGGGTGAAGGGAAGGAGTTAGGGGAAGGGGGGTATTAGGAAGACAGGGGGAAGGAAGGGAGCTAGGGGAAGGGAGGGAGCTAGGGGAAGGGAGGGAGCTAGGGGAAGGGAGGGTGCTAGGGGAAGGGAGGGAGCTAGGTAGAAAGGGTGAAGGGAAGGAGTTAGGGGAAGGGGGGTATTAGGAAGACAGGGGGAAGGAAGGGAGCTAGGGGAAGGGAGGGAGCTAGGGAGACAGGGGGAAGGGGGGGAGCTAGGTAGACAGGGGGAAGGGAGGGAGCTAGCTAGGTGGCGGGGGGTATTATGTAGACAGGGGGAAGGGAGGGAGCTAGGGGAAGGGGGGGAGCTAGGGAAAGGGAGGGAGCTAGGGGAAGGGAGGGAGCTAGGTAGACAGGGGAAGGGAGGGAGCGAGGTAGACAAGGGGGAAGGGAGGGAGCTAGGGGAAGGGAGGGTGCTAGGGGAAGGGAGGGAGCTAGGTAGAAAGGGTGAAGGGAAGGAGTTAGGGGAAGGAGGGTATTAGGAAGACAGGGGGAAGGAAGGGAGCTAGGGGAAGGGAGGGAGCTAGGTAGAAAGGGTGAAGGGAAGGAGTTAGGGGAAGGAGGGTATTAGGAAGACAGGGGGAAGGAAGGGAGCTAGGGGAAGGGAGGGAGCTAGGTAGACGGGGTATTAGGAAGACAGAGGGAAGGGATGGAGCTAGGGGAAGGGGGATATTAGGAAGACGGGGGGAAGGGAGGGAGCTAGAGGAAGGGAGGGAGCTAGGTAGACAGGGGGAAGGGAGGGAGCTAGGTGGAGGAAGGGAGCTAGGTAGACAGGGGGAAGGGAGGGAGCTAAGTAGACAGGGGGAAGGGAGGGAGCTAGGTAGACAGGGGGAAGGGAGGGAGCTAGCTAGGTGGAGGGGGGTATTATGTAGACAGGGGGAAGGGAGGGAGCTAGGGGAAGGGAGGGAGCTAGGCAGACGGGGAAGGGAAGGGATTTGGTGAAGCGGAGGAGAGGAAAGGAAGAGGAAGTTGTTAACAGCCAGTTGTACCTCTGCCACCTGTCAGTACATTCACTACAGCTGTTGATGATACAGAATATACCTAAGAAACATTGTAGCGTCTCAGAAACTATATGTTATAAATCTTGGTTACATGGGATAGTACGTATACTTTGGTTATTTGGAGTGATATACAGATCACTTTTTGCTTTCATTGGGTTGTATATCCTGGATATATGGAATGGTATTTTATGGTTTCATGAGGTGGTATATTATAGTGATATGGGGTGGCATTTCCTGGTGATGTGTGGTGGTATACTCTGGTTATAGGGGATGGAATATTTATGTGGGGTGGTTTACTTTGGTTATAGACTGAATATTAAATTTGTTATAAATTTATTTATTTTATAGTTTATTCACTAGATCAGGTGTGACCTCTAAACATCAGAGTGATTTAAACCTCTTCAATAAAAAAATTCTCAAAACAATCATCGATATTACCACACAGCACTGAAACATGTGTCTCTGTCTCTCCTCTGCATGCTCAGTAAGATGGCCTCAGGGTTACTTGTTGTTGTAAAATCCTCTCAATAAAAAAGTACATTTCTTGGCCACCAGATGTTCATCAATCTACAACAGTGGTTTGATATAAACATGCTTTGTGAAGTGTCTGGTACAGCCTTATGGCTTTCCACCAAACACATCAACTCCACTGATTGCTGCTGTTGTTTCTCTGTGGCAGTGAGCTAGTCTTATTAACCATAGCAAGTTTATCTTATTATGTCAAGGTTATCTTATTATGTCAAGGAAAATCTTTATACATGTGTGGACTTTTTCTCAATTTTTGTTTGTGTTAGTAATATTTGTCGTGATCAAATAGTTAATAATGATTGATAGGAGTACTGGTAGACTTGAAAGCATGTCAAATAATTTTACAATGAGTTTTTCTCTTCTTTGATTCATAAAAATCAACAGATGTATTTTCGTGATAATCCATTTGTATCTTGATGCACTTCTTTGATCATTTCACTTTACAGTACTGAGATTTCCTGTTGATCTGAATGTTTTTGTTAGAACAGTGTGCTAATGGGTGCTATCATTTAGAATGCTGACTGTACTATAGGACCCCTCTGATTTAGGAAAGTTTGTCGACAACAACAAAACAGAGGCAAAAAATAACCATCTAGGCAGAAAGTACTGTTGCCCCAGTATTCTATTTCTTGTTAATATCCCCCCCCCCCCCCCTGTTATGTGAGCCAGGAACTTGTACCCTATGTACATATTTACATGATGTAGTTAACAGTCTATTACAGCCCTGCTATACTGTTATGGTGATAAGAACTGTATCAGTGTTTAACTTCCTATAAATAGACATCCTTCCTGTCAAACAGTCACCGACTGGTTAGGATGAGGTCATCATGTTGCCATTAATTATCAATCACGATTAATAAGCTAACTTGTGATAACACAGGTCATTTCTAGTTGAGAGTCATGTATAACGTGTGATCCAACGATACAGTACTCATACAGTACTCAGTGAAACAAACTTTATAGTTACACCATGTGTCATAAACTTTGGACCCTCAATAAAGAAACTGGTTAATAACGAATTATAATTTTTTAATTGCTCCAAAAAGGGAATATCTTGGGAGATCATTCATATATAAATCAGATACAAAATGTAGCATGTACCCTTAATTCTTGTCTCTATGGACAATGGTTTTGTGTACGAGTCTGAATCAATGCCTTACTACAGGGGTTCTCATGTGAGGCTTAGGAAAAGATTTATATTGAGTGATCTTTATTCTTATACAAGTTTATATTATACTGTATGAGTGTGGGCATATTTGTGCTGGTTTCGTGAATAAAGTAATTGAAACGAATTCATATCACACAAAAATGCACTTATCTCATCAGTATAGGGTGACTAAGGGTTTGTCATTGTGCGTGGGCCCAATTTAAGTTGACAAAATACCAGTGTGACTGTGAGTTTGGTGACAGAATTCTGTCTGGGTTCAAGTGATGGGCAGGGCACTGTGTATTGACCACTGTACTGGGACCTTGGGACATCTTGGCAAGACCTTAACCCTTTAGTCATAAAAAAATAAACAGATAATGTAACACAAGATTTAACAGGAATTTAATCCACTGTTAAATATGGCGGTTTCCCACCGTTTTCATCTGACATCAACATGTTTACATTGTTTCTTACCTGTCATTGACCTATCTCACTAACATGTGTTATAAAACTGAAACAGAGAAGTGCTGAGAAATGGAAACGTGAACATTTTCACAAATTAACACATCCTAATAAAGTCTGGTTTCTCTAGTAAAACATCTCCATAAAACCTGGCTCCTTAAGACCAAAACATTTACAATTTTACATTCCAGTGTATCCCCAACCCACCTTGAAATCTTGTCAGTCGTCAAGGAGGCACTGCCATGATGACTTTGGAAGGTTGGAGTATATACCCAAATTAACATTATAAAGGGGAGGGGGAAGATGTTTCAATATATAATGATATTTACTGAAAAAGTATTAACAGTAACTGTGGCTAGATATACACTGAAGTGGCTAGATATACACTGAAGTGGCTAGATATACACTGAAGTGGCTAGATACACACTGAAGTGGCTGGATACACACTGAAGTGGCTAGATATACACTACACTAAAGTGACTAGATATACACTGAAGTGGCTAGACAACACTGAAGTTGCTAGATATACACTGAAGTGGCTAGATATACTCTGAAGTGGCTAGATAGATGCCTAGCAATCATGGTACAAAATATCAGTAATCTTAGTGTTATCATAATCAAATTAATATTGATCCTGCTATTTGTAATTTGAAATGTGGAAGGAAAGCAGCAGGTTATATAAAATTAGGGTGATGACCTCTCATGTTTTCCTTCTGTCATCAGGTCTCTATCAACTGTTGTTTAATTATTATGATAGCTTGAAAGAGAAAAGATGAAAGGGACTTTCAGCCCTGGACAGCTGTCAGATACAGTAGCCCTGATTAGACAGTTGATTATGGTCAGTGCACAGATTGTTGACATTAGGGACGAATTGTTAGCCCAGTTATTCTGATGGTGGTGTGACCATGTGTCCAGGTGCTGTGATATTGTTTCCCTACATTTCCTTAAGGACTTCTGATGGTGGTGTGACCATGTGTCCAGGTACTGTGATATAGTGTCCCTACATTTCCTTAGGGACTTCTGATGGTGGTGTGACCATGTGTCCCGGTGCTGTGATATAGTGTCCCTACATTTCCTTAGGGACTTCTGATGGTGGTGTGACCATGTGTCCCGGTGCTGTGATATAGTGTCCCTACATTTCCTTAGGGACTTCTGATGGTGGTGTGACCATGTGTCCCGGTGCTGTGATATTGTGTCCCTACATTTCCTTAGGGACTTCTGATGGTGGTGTGACCATGTGTCCCGGTGCTGTGATATTGTGTCCCTACATTTCCTTAGGGACTTCTGATGGTGGTGTGACCATGTGTCCCGGTGCTGTGATATTGTGTCCCTACATTTCCTTAGGGACTTCTGATGGTGGTGTGACCATGTGTCCCGGTGCTGTGATATTGTGTCCCTACATTTCCTTAGGGACTTCTGATGGTGGTGTGACCATGTGTCCCGGTGCTGTGATATTGTGTCCCTACATTTCCTTAGGGACTTCTGATGGTGGTGTGACCATGTGTCCCGGTGCTGTGATATTGTGTCCCTACATTTCCTTAGGGACTTCTGATGGTGGTGTGACCATGTGTCCCGGTGCTGTGATATTGTGTCCCTACATTTCCTTAGGGACTTCTGATGGTGGTGTGACCATGTGTCCCGGTGCTGTGATATTGTGTCCCTACATTTCCTTAGGGACTTCTGATGGTGGTGTGACCATGTGTCCCGGTGCTGTGATATTGTGTCCCTACATTTCCTTAGGGACTTCTGATGGTGGTGTGACCATGTGTCCCGGTGCTGTGATATTGTGTCCCTACATTTCCTTAGGGACTTCTGATGGTGGTGTGACCATGTGTCCTGGTGCTGTGATATTGTGTCCCTACATTTCTTTGGGGACTTCTGATGGTGGTGTGACCATGTGTCCTGGTGCTGTGATATTGTGTTCCTACATTTCCTTAGGGACTTCTGATGGCTGGACATGGTCTGATGAATTTGTTTGATGAAATGATATAGAAATGATATGGTGTCCACTAGATCAGTGATGTGAGATGTTTGGTAGAAACACAGGGCTGTAATTATAAAGTGTGATGACAATCCAACCTCATCCATTAAATATTGTTCTACTAGTAAAATATTGATCCCTATACAAACTTAACCTTAGTTTTCTTATAGGATAAAATGATGATCTGCTTTTCTTGTTAACATATGTTGTTTATATGTTGGAATGTGGATTTGTCATTGAATTTCTACCTTCCAAAATATTAAAACAATCTGTTCACAGTTTATTGGTGATTTCATTTGAATAAAAGATCACACGACACATACATGTACTCTTGCTTGGAGGAACAGTCAGTAGAACTTCAAACCTGTAATGTTTAACAGGAAGTTTATGGAAAATGCTGTTTGACATCTTTGCTCTTGCCAAAACTGCATCAAACACGAAGTAAACACATATCAGGGGGGTTGCACATCAAACAGCCAATGTAAAACAGTTGTTTGTCACATAATCTTTACACAGACTATTTCCTTAGTATATACCAGGCCTTTACTGGTATATACAATGGGGGAGGGTTTCTCACTGAAATAAGCATTTTATTATGCATGTAGTTTATATTTAACATGTTGCACTTTGCAGCTTGACTGTGATTAATTTCAAGTAAAATGGATCTTTGATGTTTACCAATTATAAAAATTAATTTATCTTTATTCATTATTTCCAGATTTGTAAAGAATTAAACAATCCCAGCATTCCAGGGGTGAGGAAGTTTCAGGGTCATCGAGGTGTTTGGAAATGTGTGGTGTCTAAGGCAGCTGGTCGAATGTACCAGGTAAGTAGTGAGGGGCAAACAACTCAGTGTCGCTGAAGTCATTGGTTTGTCTATGAGCCCCACTTTTATAGATAAAACATCCAGGTAATTTTGTTATTCTTATGATTTAAGGGAAGTGATATGTGTGTGACAGGGGCTATGATCCAGTACATAGGGACACTTAGGGTCCAGTACTGAGGGACACTAGGGTCCAGTACATAGGGACACTAGGGCCCAGTACTTAGGGACACTAGGGGCCGGTACTGAGGGACACTAGGGGCCGGTACTGAGGGACACTAGGGCCCAGTACTGAGGGACACTAGGGTCCAGTACATAGGGACACTAGGGTCCAGTACAGAGGGACACTAGGGTCCAGTACAGAGGGACACTAGGGTCCAGTACAGAGGGACACTAGGGTCCAGTACAGAGGGACACTAGGGTCCAGTACAGAGGGACACTAGGGTCCAGTACAGAGGGACACTAGGGTCCAGTACAGAGGGACACTAGGGTCCAGTACAGAGGGACACTAGGGTCCAGTACAGAGGGACACTAGGGTCCAGTACAGAGGGACACTAGGGTCCAGTACTTAGGGACACTAGAGCCAGGTACTTAGAGACACTAGAGCCCAGTACATAGGGACAGTAGGGGCCAGTACATAGGGACAGTAGGGTCCAGTACTTACGGACACTAGGGTCCAGTACTGAGGGACAGTAGGGTCCAGTACTGAGGGACACTAGGGCCCAGTACTTAGGGACACTAGGGTCCCGTACTTAGGGACACTAGAGCCCAGTACATAGGGACACTAGGGGCCAGTACTTAGGGACACTAGGTTCCTGTACTTAGGGACACTAGGGACACTAGGGCCCAGTACTGAGGGACACTAGGGTCCAGTACTTAGAGACACTAGGTTCCAGTACTTAGGGACACTAGGGTCCAGTACATAGGGACACTAGGGTCCAGTACTGAGGAACACTAGAGCCCAGTACATAGGAACAGTAGGGTCCAGTACTTAGGGACAGTAGGGTCCAGTACTTAGGGACAGTAGGGTCCAGTACATAGGGACACTAGGGTCCAGTACTGAGGGACACTAGGGTCCAGTACTTAGGGTCACTAGGGTCCAGTACATAGGGACACTAGGGTCCAGTACTTAGGGACACTAGGGTCCAGTACTTAGGGACACTTGGGCCCAGTACTGAGGGTCACTAGGGTCCAGTACTGAGGGTCACTAGAGCCCAGTACATAGGAACAGTAGGGTCCAGTACTTAGGGACACTAGGGTCTAAAACTTAGGGACACAGATGCTTTATAACTCTCAGATTTTCCAATGCTTGAATGCATATTGCCTAAATATTATAAGACTCTTTCATGCTCAGGGGTGTAGGATAGGGAAATTCCACTCGAGAGGTTTTCAAATTTAGTAAAACTCCAGGCTTTGCTTAGGGTTTTGCCAAATTTGAAAATCCTGAGGGTGGAATTTCCCTATCCTACACCCTTGGGCATGAAAGAGTATTTTTCTCTCATTCCAACTACCAGAATAAGCTTAGAAACCATGAAAATGCGTTTGGACTGTCCACATTTTGAAAATATCAATCCCTCCTTGAGCTTTTTAGACAAAAACAAATCAGCTAGCCGAATTTAGCATATCACATATTGGCAAACACAGTTTGGGCAGGAAAATTAATCACATCTTTCTAAGGTGTACTGTAAATATATTGTAACAGGTTTTTAATTTCATCAAGTCGCCTTTTCTGCAAGAAAGATAGAAATTTCCTACACCTCTTTTTTACCCTGGACAGCTTTATCTTACACACAGGGAAATGAGAGAAAAGGGTATCTTTACCTGGGGGCAGCCAGTCGCTTATAAATCACACATGTAAGTGGATTCTGATTGTCAATTTGGTCATGAACATTGTAATACACCTTTAGACCTATTGTTAAAGGAGCTACTAAGAGAGGATACGTTGAGAAATATCAAGAGAAATGTGAAAGGCTCTCTAATGACCAGGGCCCAACTCTTTATCTCTGAAGATCCTTAAACATGTAAATTCTTAGAAGAGAATCAGCAGAAACGAAAATCTCCAGAAGTTAAACCTGGCATTCCAAATCATAAATTAAAAGAAATACACGAAACAAAAATTGTGAGGTTGACAATATGTGTGGAATAGGACCAGGGTCCAATATAAGGACACAAGTGGTATGATGTTTGTGACAGGAACAAATGTCTCTGTACACAGGTATGTCAACTGGCCACTGATAACAAGTGATAATTGTCACTGACCACTTGACCAGAGATAGGTGTTGTACAGCTTTAGTAAGCTAGTTTAGTACAGAGTGGGCAGTAAATGGTGGAGAAATGTATGTCAATCAGCCACATAAAGCCCTATAGATCTGTCACCAGTGTACACTACAGATAAAGGTCATTCACACCCTGTATAACAGATAGCTCTGTTAGAACCCGATATTTAACGGTCCTTTCAGAAATATTTTATCCTCCTGGTTTGAATTACCATATGTATACCAAACCAAGTGATGGTTGATTACATCTTCTGTCCATCGCCCTCTGAAGTGACTTAAATGCACTGCCATATATTGAATACAAGATCTGTGACAATGTCAGCGTCTAATAGAGAATGTGACATCAGTGTTGATATCACACTAGTTTCCTTGTTGTTATCATACTACAGTACCAGTTGATATTCTGACCAGTTGGCAGGAAATCTATTTAGACAATTTTATAACTGTAACAGGCACCAGAGGTGTTTTTCTTTGATTTGGAATGACTTTTAAGGTCATCATATATGTCCTACAATAATCCTATGGGGCAGCACAATCTCTCACTCCAAGTAGGGGATGGGATTATACACAATCTCTCACTCCAAGTAGGGGATGGGCTTATACACAATCTCTCACTCCAAGTAGGGGATGGGCTTATACACTATCTCTCACTCCAAGTAGGGGATGGGCTTATACACAATCTCTCACTCCAAGTAGGGGATGGGCTTATATCAGGACAATGAAATAGCATTAGTTTGTTTATATTCTACTGAATTGTTATATATATGGGTGGGCTTATTAGCAGGCATGGGCTTATTGCTGGGTATATACAGTAGTTTAAGTGAAGCCTGAGAGACAGTAAAAAGCTTGGTCCAACTTGTGAAGCCACTGATTAAGAAAGTGAACAAAATTGAAATGGTGCAGTATTGATATTGGAAAACAGGTTTATTTTACTTGGGGAAACATTCTTGTTGGTCTAACACTGATCACTACTTATAACACAATAAACAGTTAGGATTGCTTGTAAGCCTTGTTTTACCTACATAGGTTCTTTGGTAGCAGAAACAGTGCATATGCTATAGTGGTACAGTCATTTAGTGGTAGATCCAGGTGCTTTTTAATCACTCATCTCCTGAAAAAGTAGGGTAAATTTTCTTGAAAAAATTGTTCAGGAACAGAGGAATCTAGGTTAAACAGTGAAAAAGAGTTTGAAAAATAGCTTGTGGTAAAATAAAAATAAAACCTCAATACATCAAATGTTAAGTACTACCAGGCTGTGGACAAGTAATGCTTGTTTCCATAGCAACAGTTAAATGCTTCATTGAAAACCATCACTGAATTTCATTCTATTTCATAACTGTTGTAAAATAAATATATAACCGTGTATAAAGATGTACTACCAGGACACTATCACCAGTCCAATGAAGCCCCTTACTGGTATTCACCCTCCACATATGGTTTGTTGTGTACCATGATAAATTCACCCTCATTGTGGAAGGCAGAAATCAAATAGTAGCAACAATTCCCTGGTATACAGTATATTGGTTTCCGATCTGTTACCAATGCACAAAATATTCACGCTGTGATCTTTTTAATGATTCATAAAGCGATCATTTCCTCATGTGAAAATTTCGAGGTGTTTTTTTACAGTTTCCGAAGATTTCTACAATGACCTTTGACCTATGCTTGGAGTGGTGACTAACATTTCTACAATGATCTTTGACCTATGCTGGGAGTTGTGACTAACATTTCTACAATGACCTTTGACCTATGCTGGGAGTCGTGACTAACATTTCTACATTATAATGATGTGACCTTTGACTCACCCTTCCCTAGTGTAGTGCTGGATTAGTTACAGTGGCTGACACAAAGTACTGGGTACTTCAGCACATAGAGGGATAGTTATAACGTTAACTTGTTATATATGAAGTAACAGGTTTGTCCGCTATGAACGGATGTATGTTGGGTACAAAGTGTGACAGCTGTATGATGGTATTGATCCCATTGTTTTACCAGGATGTTTTAACACTGTTCCTGGGACTGATGACTGACATGTTTACTCAGTGGCTAATATATCCTAGTTAGTGGGAATAGGTGACATCACTTCTCAGAGATATCAATTGAACACTGGGTTGGTTTAATGGTGTGTAGTTACAGACGTATTGTCAGATCTAATGGGGATTCAGAGAGGTTTCTGTTCAATAATTGCACATACTTTTATGAGAACATTTAATTGATAACAACTTCCCCAGAAGTACTATATGTGGTGTGACTGGTGTATATTTGTGTGTGTACATGAATTATTTATCAGCAATAAACTTGTGTCTATAAAAAGATTGAGAAGGAATACATGTTCACACTGCCATTGGGGTACCGTGTCAGAGGTCTCCCTGTGATTTTTCATGATATGATTTTCCATATGATATATGGGTTCTCAAAAACAGTCTGTTAGATAGTCTCCCTTCTAATCTGTTAGATGGACTCTGTTTACAAGTGGTGTTTTATGACAGATTTACTCTCAGGACTATCCAGTGGTCTCAGTAACCTAGATAATCTCCTGTTATTTATTGTAGTAGAGTGTAGGTCTCTCAGGAAAGGTTTTTTCCCATAGGTAGAAAGGGTAGCACAAAACAGGCCCTTAATATCTTGTTGTGCAACCTACATTTGTTTTTAGGTCACCTGAGCTTTAGCTCAAGTGACCTATTGCTATCCGTCTTTGTCCGTCGTCGTCCGTCGTCGTCCATTAAC